AACCCTCTATTCCTTTATGTTTACCACCCATATGCTAAAAATAGTGTTTCTTACTATTTTGCAGTAATTCCAAACCTATTACTGGGAAAATCAGAGGACTGGCTTGGTTAATGATTAAATGGGATGCTAACAGAAGCCAAGAGAAATAATATAAGTCAAATTACATACAGCTGTTGCAATATTTAATATAGTAGGTCATCTTAATGCATCACAAAATTTAGCCTAGCAAGATTAATTTGGTAGTTTTAAGAATCATCTATCATTAAGGCTACATTTCCGGCCATATAGATTTAGAGTACATTGTATATTTACCTACTTAGTTCTTTCAGGTACACAGACTCTTATGTGTAAAATTATGACCAGTAAATGCTAGTGTAACAGAAAAAAAGGCAGGTACCAGAGTTTACTACAGAAGTTGACAATTACACTATTTATCTAGGAGAATTAGGATAAGGAATTTAGCCTATATAAAAGGAAGTCACAGGAAGAGGAAACTCCCTGTTGTAATGAAGAATGTATGTGCTGTTGTCTCATAATAATGAGCCTTTCATTCTGCCATGGGAGATCAAATTCTATCCTAATTACTTTTCCTCACTTGATGAGAATCTATTCTAACAAACCATAATGAATAGATTACAAAATATTCCATTATTACCTTCTCTATTGGATAATGTATATTTTTTTTGTTATTCCCTTGCAAATAATATATTAGAGTTTTCTGAAGGCAACTGCACTTTTTCAGGTACGGGTACTGGATACCTGGATTCAATAAGGATACTATCCAAGAGTTCAGAAAACATTCGGATAACTGATAAATTCTAATAGGCAACTGCTAGCGTTCTGGATAAAGATTACAAAAAGTTGCAAATATAAATGGAGTAGGTTACTGCATTTTTGTATATATTATACATAGGTGTGAATCTCTGTCCACTGTGCCTTAGCTGTTACTTCCATTAAATTTGAATAGCTTATAGTAACACATTTATGAACCTTCTAGATTATCCAGCTTTAAATAGCTATGTGAACATTCTCCTTTCCATTGACATAGGTTACACATTCTGGTGTCTGCTTCACCCAAAATAGTCAACTGATTTTATAAAAATGTAACTTACATTCTGGTCAATAAATTTATTGACTTGTTTTTGCAGCTTCTGGCACTCTTTAAATTTTTCCTTGTAATGATCAGCAGCCATCTGCAGACGGAGCTTTAAATCTTCAACTTCTCTGCGTAGTTCTCTCTCTACAACATTCGATGTTCCCTTTCCCCCCAAAAAAAGAAGATATGTATTCTTCAAAACAGGTTTTTTCCCCCCCACATTTAATCACTTATGCCAATATGTTGCATCCAGATTCAGGAAACAGACTAAAAACACAGCAAGAACTGCTCAGGGAAGGTAGGAATTTATCATAATTGATGTATTTACAAATTGCTAGAAAATTAAAAAATGATTTCAAGAAAGAAAGAGGGACCTTGAGAAAGAAATTTGAAACATTTATACAAAACCAAGATCACTTATTAGGACAAATACATAAATTGCTATTGAAATGTGACATGGAATTGGAACAAATCAAATTGTGGATACAAAGCTTCAAAAAAATAATTACTCTGCAACAATGGGAAGAACTATGGAAAAAGCAATAAAATATTCCCCAAAATATAAAAAGAAAATTAGTATGAAATATTTTACAGATGATATATAACTCCATCAATAATTACCAAGATAATCATGTAACAATAAATGTTGTAAATACCATAATAAAGATGGATCATTTTATCGTGTGAGCTGGTTACATAAAAACACCCAAAATTACTGGAAAGAAATACATCAAAATATTCAAAAAATCTGAAATAAAATTTGAATTGAAACCCAATTATTAGATAGATAGATAATAGATAGATAGATAGATAGATAGATAGATAGATAGATAGATAGGATATATATATTAGGAAACATAAGTGAAAATTATCACAATTTACTAAGATATATGCTGACAGCTACAAGGACAAATTTGGAACAACACTGAAAAAGAGGAACCTTGGTGACAATATTATACTGGGAAACCAAAATTTAAGAATATGCAGCAATAGCAAAATTGACAGTATGTATATCTATTACAGAAGTCTAATCAAATTTAAGCAGAAATGGCTTCCTTATATACTACACATTACACAGAAAGACAAATTTAGACATTTGGAATATGGTTTTTAGGAAAAAACTTACAGACCACTAAAAAATAAGACATGAAACTACTTAAATAGATACTAGCAATAATCTTCAATGTTTAATGTAAAGTGTAAATATCTAGGTTGCGGCCAACAGTTGGGAAAACAAACGGAAAGGAAGGGGAGAATGTGTCACTAGAAAGTTTTTCCATAATGTTTTTATTTATTCATAGTACCTGTTTGTTTTATTCTACTATCACTATTTAATGTAGTTTTTTTCCTTGTACTACACTATTCTAACAATAAAAAATCTTTTAAAAAAAAAGTTTCCCCCCACTGGTACACTGTTTGCAGTGGACTGACAAAGAAGTAACAAAGAAAAAAACTTCTTGTTATTGATTTAGCTAAATAGTTTTTCTACTACAATACAATTTATTTTGAAGTAGAATAAGATTATTACCCTGTATTTTTCTTCTTTAGAAATTTAAGCCAAATTTCTAAAGTAACCCTCCCTCATTAAGGCAAAAACTAGAGTCCAACAAATTAGCTTCATTTATGCTGAAACATGAAATGCATTAATCCAGTTATAATAACACAATGGAAATGGTATCACTAATTTTCTCAACACTGATTATATCCTGTCCTGTGTTATAACTCTAGATTGAAAATCTGACATTTTAGAAACATATGGAAAGCATTTAAAGCTCCAAGGTTCAGTCTAAATTATGTTTTACTCTACTATACTGTAAATGATGCCTTCAGGTTGTTAGATTAAATACTAGAGACCTGATCTCCACTGAAAGTTATCATCCAAACAATTTTATATTAACTGACACCAGAGCTTTATAATTAACAGAACTTTTACCTGTTCACTGTTTGTAAGAGAGTTTTTTTTAAGATCAGCTAGAGCATCATTCAGCTGTTTCTTCAGGTTTTCATTTTCAAGTCGAGCACTATGAAGGTCTGCCATCGTTTTATCACGCACATTTACTGCATCACTTAGTTCTTTTGACATCAACAGTACTTCCTGCCTGCTTGCCTGAATTTGATCCTCAGCTTTCCGAAGCTGCTCTTTTAAAACACTTGACTCTTCCTAGAAAATAAAAAAGTAAATCTATATATTACTCATAAGTTAGCTCATTTTCTGCTACCCTTAAACAAAAAGAAAGGTGTATTTTCAAGACATAAGTACAGTATTAGTAATATATCAAAATTTCCAGTTAGAAATATTATGGCTATCTGCTGTTGCCCATGGCTCCCAGCACTCTGTCATGTGTACACTCAAACACCCAGCAGGCACTGTTCTTTTTAGTTAACAGCAGAATCCTGAAAGTAAAATAGATAACATAACTTTCCAATAGGCATTGTTTTCCTAAGCAGAAAGGGCAGCTACTGCTGAGCTGGCAAACATAATGACTTCAAAATGAAAAGAACTCTTAATAAAAAAGAGGGGAGCAGTAGAGATCTAAGGGGTGGCAATCCAAGATGGATCTAGACATTGTTGGTGACTGAAGATACACGGTTGGTTTCAGAAAAGAGCAATAATGATCCTGAAAAAGATTGGGGAGTTTTCAGCTCCTAAAGCAGTGTCGGTCTGAGGTAAGCCAGAAATCTCCTGAAGTGTTCTAGGACTAATTTTGCAGAAAATCATTGAAGACGACCCCGTGGAACATTTCTACTCATCACAGATGGCTTCTCAGAAATGGAAGAGATGGGATAGATCACATTCTACAAGCCAGGGAAATGGATGGAACCCTAAGAGAAAAAAATGCCAGCTAGCATAATTACCTCACCCCTAGCACAATTACCTCACCCCTAGACAGGTAATAGGGATAAAAATAAGAGCACTAATATTGTAATTTCTTTGTTTGTTTCGAGCCACCCAGAATTGTTGGGAGTCAGGCTGCAAACAAGTTTTAATAATTATAATAATTCAACATACTGAACTACACACATAACATCCAAAAAGATTTACAAGTAGTCCTTCTTTAACCACCACTTACTTGTTCAGTGATCATTCAAAGTTATGATGGTGCTGAACAAGGGGGACTTACAACCGGTCCTTGTAGTTGTGGCTGTCGCAGTGTCCCCACAGTCACATTGTGATTCATATGCTTAGCTCACAATTATGACGTTGCAGTGTCCCGCAGTCACGTGATTGCCATTTGCAACCTTTGCTGCTGGCTTCCAACAAGCAAGGTCAATGGAGAACCCGGCAGGAGGTTGCAAATTATTTATTTATTTATTAAATTTTTCAACCGGCCATCTCCCCCCAATGGGGGAAGTCTAAAATAATATATATTATAATATAATAAAATATAAATGGTGATCACATGACCACAGCATGCTGTAACTACAATTATTCACCTATCGACTGGGATGGCTGGAACTGCCATCGTAAGTCGGTGCAGTCATATGACAGCGCACTGTACAACCATGTCACTGAGCAACAGAATTTCCGGTTCCAATTACCATCAGTAAGCGAGGACTATCCCTACTGTCTTAGTAAAGAAAGAGTGCCCTTTGAAAATACCTGGCTAGTTGCTTCCAACTCATGCAGTAATTTATTACTTTATCATGGCAGTTATCAGTTATAGGAAAAAGGAAGGCAGAAAGGAGCAGCTCTAAAAAGGAATACATCTTTGAAATGAAATGAAAATCTTGCTTTATAGGTAGTCCTCACTTACCAACTGCAATTGGGACTGCAAGTTTGTCACTAAGCAGTGCAGTGGTTTAAGTGAAATGTCACGTGACCATGCTGACTTACAACATCAATTACAACAGTAGTGGTTAAGCAAATCACCACAGGTTGTTAAGTGTGATGTCACATGACCCAACTTGCGGCTTCCTGCCAGCTTCCCCATTGACTTTGCTTGTCAGAAGCTGGCTGTGAAGGTTGCAGTGATGGTATGACCGTGGGGTGTTGCAACCATTGTAAATGCATGCTGGGTGCCAAGCTCCTGAATCACAATCACATGACCCTGGGGACACTGACGCCTGCAGCTTTGACAACCAGTGTTAAGACTCCTTTTTCAGTGCCATCGTAACTTCGAAGAGTCGCTGAACGAGGTTAGTAAGTAAGGACTACCTGTACTATGCTTGTTTTGGTAGTAGAAAAAAGAGAAAAAAATTGGAAGGGGTGTTTGTGCACTGTGTGTTGGTTCATATCCTGAGAGTCCATGGGAGTCTTCGTGACAAATATATTCTTCAGCCTGGAAGAATGTATATATCACTGTCACCAAGTTGCATTCTGCAAAATGCTATAAGGATACTGAAAAAAATATGAGTATGTGTTGGAGGAAGAATACCACAAATCTACAGGTTCAAATTATTTCATGTTTGATACTGCTACAATTGAAAAATAAAGTAAATGCATTTAAAATTACTCCTATTTAATAATGCCTCTACTGTTTTAATAATTAATTTGTCCTCTCTCTTATTTAAGCAAATAATTACATTTACTGAAGCAATTGTTCTGCAGGTAACTTGAATTATCTAGAATATTCTGAAAACAAAAATAACGAAGACTTAAAAATAAAGATGCTATTTAATTGGTTCCAATACCTTATTTGAGGAAGTAAGCAGGAAAGCTCTCTTCAATTTTTCTTTTTCAGCCATACAAAGTTGTAATCTGCCAATCTCTTCTTTATAATACGCTATAAGGTTTTCTTTGTTTCCATCCAAATTCTTAAGTGTCTGAATTTCAGATGTTAATTTACTGTTTTCAACTTCTGTATTCTTCAAGTGTATCTGCAATGACATAATCAGTTCATATTCTTACTCGTTATGTTTATTCTAAACAGGTCCATCCCAAGGTAACTAGGATTAAATGGAAGGCTGAAGCAAAAGAATCTTCTTTGGGTGCATATTTGGTAAGGAAGAAAACTAGACAGAACAAATTGGGAGGGCCCTAAGCATGCAAGGCAGGATTGCTGCCAGGACTCACTTCTGCCCTTCCTAGATATTTGCTTGTCTGGGCAGAGAAGGCACGCTACCTGGCAAGGCTCCAGTGCAATTTTGCAGGGATCTAGCCCTGGGCAGCCATGTTGTACATGCAGAGTCTTTGGTAGGGTGGGGAGAGATGGGATGTTCCAAAGCCTTGTTGTTGTTGTTGCAGAGCTCTACCCATTATTTTGTTTGGTATGTAGACTTAAATGTGGTGATTGAGGTTGGGGGAATATTTTTTTCACCCAACTCTAAATTTGAGTTAAATCATTGGTTTACTTCAGGAGGGGTTCATAATGGGGGAGCACCATGAATGCTGAAAACTCCTGAGTAAAACGCCTCCAGATAATGGAATTTTCTCTAGCTACAATATACTTAACTGAAAATTTACCTTGTAAAGCTCCTTTTCATCCTTTTCTGTCTTTAACTGGCATTCAAACTGCTCCTTTTCCAAGACTACTTTCTTGAGTTTGTCTTTCAAGCTACAGAATAAAAAAACAATCTTCAAATATATTGCTTTTATTTAGATCTCAGTGAAAAAGTTTTATATTTGTTGCATACCTATCTAATTCTGTTTCTTTTGTAATAGCTTTTTGAGTAACAATCATGATGTCTTCTCCAAGCTGAAGAACTTTAGAAGTAGCTTCTTCACATTTTTTCTTGAGTTCTTCATTTTCAGTTTTAAGAGTTTCTACAGCTTTAAAGCTATCCTTTAAAAAAAAAGTTATAAAACTCACTTTAAATGTATGCATGTTTACATATGTTTAATTAAATTTGCCAAATCTACACTAACATCTTTGGGGATGAAATGGAAAAGAAATATAATCTCTATTGAATAGATGTATGGTATCTAAGTGATTTTTCTCAAGGGAGGTTAAATCATCACTGAAGGAGATATAAGGTCATCTCCTCATGCATCTTATCACTGAGTTAGTTGCTTCCATTTGCCATGCTCATATTCACAAGAGAAGGCAGGATGCAAATGTTTTAAAACAATAGAAACATATGCAAAATATGGCTTCGCTTTTTCTGTGAAAGACCTACACAAAATGTATAGATTAGCTGTGCATAAATTCTAAATGTTTAGTTACAGAAGCAACAAGAAGTCTGTATTAGCCTTTTGACAATTGCATTTCAAAACAGAAGTAAAATATTTTGTCTACGTTACCACCATGAACATGGACAAAGTACATCTGCTTACAATAAATTAAACAACAACAAAAAACAATTTCAGCCTCCTCTTTTAAAGAATCATATTTTCCACAAAATCATATATGAAAACTAGAATGGTTAGTAATATAATATTTAGCATTAACCAAGAGTACTAATATTGTTTTGTCATGAAAATGACACTAAGCAGCAAACAGTAAACTCTGAATGTGCACTGCACTTTAGATATATCTTCATAACACAGCATGTCATTAGCATATTTAATCTACAGGTTAGTACCACAGTGAAAAACCTTGAGAACTAACTTGTTACCAATACAGCCATAGTAGAACTAAGTCCTATGATCAGCAGGAAAAAACAGGGAATAATGCAACTGTCAATCTTGGAAAGACAACAGGGTTCCTCTTTCTCACTATTTTAATACACTATTTTAATTATTCCTTTCCACCAGCCCACTTTGAACCACTCTTCCCACAAAGACTGTCTTTGTGGGAAGCTCATCACTGCTTTTGGCATTGGCAACATTGGCAACATTTGATAGTTTATCAATGCTTCTGGCACAATTAGCAGCTCTTTATTGAACTATACTTGTCACTTCAGTCCAAAGAAAGAGTGACTAGCAATCACAGACACCATCCATTTGCCTGTTCAGAGAAGATCATCTGCCACAAGAATCATGAATATAGCCAATACTATACTCTGACTGTGAAAGAGACTCTCTTAATGATAAGAAAGCAATCAAGCAATTTTCTAAAAACTGCTTTCATCTGCCAGAATCTTTACTAGCCATTCATGGAAGAGATGTATTGTTTCTGAACTGGAAGGCCTGATTTTACAATTTTTTTTCTTTAGGATAAAATGTGTCCTATCTTATATATATCAAATGGTATAGCTTGCCTATTATGGCAAGCTACATAACACTAGTTTTTAAAAATGAACATACAACTTCTGTTTAGCAAAACCTGGTGAAAACTCTTTCAGTGTATAGATATACTTTTTTTTTTAACATATGAAAGACAATTACTTTAGGTTTTATTTGCAAATTTGCTAAAAATAGGTTGCCAGCTATAAAATCTTCAGGTTACATTTATGTACCATGTCCTTGATTTTTTAGGAGATTTTGCATAACAAGATAGCCTTAATATGATTTGCCAAAGACATAACTCATTACCTTTTAAAAAAATGTTTTTTAATCAATTAAAGAACAAACCTTTTGCTGTACTTCCAACTTATCACATTTTTCCTTTTCATATAGAAGTTCTTTTTCTAGTCTTTCAACTTGATCTCTGAGTTGCAAAGTTTCTTTTTCAAGTGATGCTATTACCTTTAATAGTTCTTCTTTTTCTTTCAGGGTTTTTTCAATTTTGAACTGAAAAGAAAAAGCAAATTTTGCTTCAAAACATTATGGATTTTGCAAATTAATTACAGAATTTTTTCCCAACAAACAAATCAGATGACTAAGTCAGGGAAATAGTTAACATTTTGCCAATCATATTATAACTCAACATATTCAAATTCACAGCTACTTTCATGCCACATTAATATGCAGAGCTTATAAACTAAATTTCATAATTATTCTTTGACAGCTGAACATTAGCGCTTTACCAAAGAATTTGTAAAAATATAGCAAGGAGCAAGGTTGTTTTTGCAGATACAAATACTGCAGTGCTGCATGACACCAGTCACTCACAAAGTTTGCCAATTAATTTTTAATCACATCCTACAAATTCTATTTCTCTACAGACAGCCCAAATCCCATACAAATCATCCTGAACCCAATTTGGGTTCAATTTAATTTGATGCATACCCCTAGTTTGTTCATATCACTCTAATATGAGATACTAATACAATTTAAATTGTAACTTCAACAAAAACTTTAATCTAGAAAAACTGTTAATTCACACCTCAAGAAGTCCAGCCTTTGTAGTCACTACCAACATATCAGAATTTCCTTCATCTTCCATTGTTAACAATTCTTCAATTGGAGACGATGTTCGAAATTGGAAAGGGGTGCTTGCTCCACGTATCTCTCCCTTATGTGTCACATAACAGAACTGGTAAAATTCTCCATCATCATTTGGAAGGTAATATCCTGATGAAAAGCAGAATTGAAAACACACACTTTTATATAGACATACACATATCCAAGCATGACTTTATACATATTCTCACAAAGGAAAAGCAGTAGTAGTGTGGAAACTGTTCCAATTCCAGGCTGGAACTTAAACTTCTACTTCACGTGTTCCTCACTAAACTGAAGATTCAAAAGTCCTCTCAGCTTCCACCAATTTTTGGTAGTACATAATGTCTCCTAATACTATTCCCTTATTTCTCCCTCTTCTAATTTCCTATTTGATCTCATTTCTTCTTGTAATAGTCTTTCTCTTGATGTTCCTTTTCTCTCCTCTTTTTTTCCATTTTCTTACATTCCAAGGATGGCAGAGAAATAAGGACACAAACACTACTACTAGAAAAATGAAGATGGCTGCTATCAGGTTTTTCTTTGTGCTCTCCAAGGGTGGATGACAAAAAATCTGACAAGTAATCTACACTCAGCCAAACGTCAGTGCTAAATTCAGACTGCATAGACAACCACTACTGTTCCAAATAGCTAAAATTAAGCTTAGTGTGTTTTAAACTAGTTAAACCAGCTCAAAGGGGGTGGGCGGTGGTACATGGGATAGAAACCAGATTATTTTAAAAAAAGTAATTGAAAAATATGGTTGAAAAATATCTGGACATATCCAAATTTGATTTTCATTATAACATTTTCCATTTGCCCTACTCATGCAGCCTTTGAAGAATTCTGTAATGACTTACATGTCATATGCAACCTCCAAAAGGCTATAAACCTATGAACTCCAAAGCCATCATTTTCTGTCTTCTGCTAAATAAGCTCTGGGGATACAGGTTTATAGTTCAGGAATTTTCAAACTCTATTAGGCCATGGAGCCTATTATTTTTTAAATAATTATGGCACTCTTGATCAGGAGGCAAAGCTCTAGTGACACAAAATTGCAATAAAATGAAACTTGTGCTTGTTATAATGTATTTATGCACATTTACATAGTAAATTTATTTGAATATCACAAAAATGAATGCCCCAACTGTCCTTCTGATGTTCTTCTGATTACTCTAAGTACAAAAAGTAAACTGTTCATGGTAAATGCAAAATTAATGTTTCCAATCTATAAAAATTAAAACTTGAATTTCACAATTACCTGGAAGGTTAATATTATAACCAAACAGATCAATGTCTATCATAGAACCCCATTAACTATGGTGATACATATATCACATGTTCATTACAAATCAAAAGATATAAATGCAATTCCAGAGGATTTCCCATACAAAATGAGAATAGATTCTATCAATGGAATTAGTTTAAGGAGCTCTGTCTACACATCCTAATCCTTGGAAAGAGGAAGCCTTCTATTCCAAGGCACTGCTTTTTATTGCTTCAATAAATGGTGAAGAATACTTTACGTCCATGTACTTATTCTTAGTTTGAATATGATCATATTACAGCTGTTTGCGCAATTCCAATTTGATATTATCAACAGTGCAAAATCAGTTGTACACAACATCTAATTAAAACTGTTATATGCCCATAAGTAATTTTAGCGTGAGCATGAGAAACAATGTAAGTCTCAATTATTTATAACAAAAGTTTATACCACAGTATTTTTTGAAATATTAATGACAGCCTATTTGCTTCTAAATATTTACCTTGAAAAGATAGCACACAATTAACTGTTGAACCTTCCACATAATTTTCAGGCATAGGTGACCAAAGAAATGTGTAATAATCTCGTGCAGTACTCCAACCAACCTAAAGGAAACATTAAAAAGATAATACAATATAACAGAACTATCGATTAAAAGACAACTATAACTTTCCATATAGTTTTAACAATTACTATGCATAATAGAAGTCTATGTTCTAGACATAACAAAATAATTTCAGCATGCAATCGGCCACTACCAAAGCAAGGGCTAATCTTCAAAGACATCAGCAGTGTTACCTGCAGCCATCTTGCATTTTCACCTGCTTGCTTAAAACAACTACCCTTCTTGGGAAATGTAAGAGAGTCCTTAGTGGTGTATAACGCAGAAAGTAATTTCTGAAATAAATGTAGTTATTACATCTTATTCTAGTTGACTGCAATCTGGAATTCCATTAATGTACCAGAGCATACCTAGGAACTATTTAGACAATATCTACTAGAATCAGGTACAAGTTTTGTTTTGTTTAATTTAAAACCAGAGAATTCTAACACAGTGATTTCAAAAATAATTTGTGATATTACCATCATATGGAATTTCATTCTGCACCCCATTTTTATTCTGCTTGGACACAAGGTTTTAGGACAAAAAGCTTTGCCCTTAAAGTTTATGAGATTTCTTTTGAAAAATATACTCCTGGAAATGTTTTACTTATAAAGATGTTGGATGAGGCAATAAATTATTAATAATTTATATTATAATAAAGTATTTAATGGGATATAGGCAAATAAAAGCCTTTTCTTTCATGCACAGGATAGAGAATTAATCCCCTGGCTTAATGGCTAATGACCCAAGAAACATTAGTGTGTATGTGTATTAACAGGGGAGAGAGAGGTCAGGTTTTATAAAATCATCTTCCTTATGCTGTGATTTGCATTATGAGGATTAAACTGATGGGCCAGGTGATATGTAGAATATCCAGTCTTACAATTGTTGGTACTTTTACAGTCATACAATGTAATGAAACATGGCCTCAAAAAAGACAAAATTTGGCAAAATAAAATTACTATATTAGCATCTATATTTTAAGGTAAAAGGCATTTTCAGGCATTTATACATTTTCACTTGACCATCACTGAGTCATTTCTTAAAAAGAAAGCACTATATATTAAAATATTCTATAGACTGCTTACCTTGAAAATACCAACCCAATCTTTTTGGTGAGGGCATATATAGGGAGTCAGAGTGTAATGGCATTCAAGGTACACATTAGGAAGATAACTTTTTGCTACATTTTGAAAGATAACATGTGCAAAATTTGAAGTCTGGAGGGTACTGCTTGAAGATGGAACCTCTTGAAAAGATGACATAATTGCTCTGTAAAAAAAATTGGAAATTTTTAATTAATACAATAGGATTTGAATGACAACATATAGATTGTAAATATTTTAAACTTTCCTAAGTCTTTTCAATGTTCTACTTATTTCACTTTTAGGATCCAGCTAGGAGGTCAGAAAAAAGAATATTCCATTTAACGTAATACCTGTTAATTTGTTGGCATTATATGCATTGCGAAGAGAGGAGTCTTTGGAAAAGACCCTGATGCTGGGAAAGATTGAAGGCAAAAGG